TATCTTTGTTTTCATTTTTTTTCTAAACAATGAAGTACACAAGGTGGGACAACAACACTCTAGGAACAATTTTACCAATTTTCTTGTATTCCTTTTGTCCGGTAAAAAATCTAACAAAAAATTACCAGAAGAGAGCGATTTTTTATATTGTTTGTTTTCCGGTAATGCATTTTCTCTAGTATTTTCCTTTATCATTTAGTTATTCTATCTCATTTAATGGCTGTTTTAGAACTGCTTTCTCAATGGCAAATGAAAGTATCACTCTATTTTGAAACCCTACGTATTCCAACAATTTAAAAATAGTACGCTGTGAATTGTATAATTTCCTTTTTGAAAAGCTCCAATTCTAAGCACTTCAATTCTTGTATGATGACAAAAAAGCTTGTTTAAGCCAATTATGAATCTTTAACATTTGGAGTTTACATCCTTTGACAAAAATGCTGACGAAAATTTGAAATTTTCTGCCACAAAAAGTATCAGCATATCGTACACAAATATAGTTAGCATAGCTCCTAGAACATGTACGCATAAAAGAATGTATTGTCCTTTTCGTTCTTGTAATTGAGCATGTATGTGAAAAAGTGACTAGTGATTGCTAACCAATGATCAATGAATGGGGAAAAAAATCTCCGAATTGAAGGCATCTAAATCTGGATCCATACACAACAACCAGTCATCAGTCATAACCACGAGTCTTTGGGGCTTTGGGACCCAAAACAACCAATTTCTTGATTAAATTCCATTTGTTTTTTTTTTTTAATTTTCCCTTGAGACAAGAATGTGCAGCAGATGCTTTAATTTATTACACTTTTTGAAAAAAGGGTTCTGAAAACTTAAATGTAAAAGTTCACAATTTGAGCGTATGTCTTTTTGGATGCTTCTTCCTTTTTTTTTTTTGGGGGGGGGGGGGAGTTGTTGGTGCATAAAGAACTACAATCCGATGACAAGAATTTTGTTTCGTTAATCGTTTGCTAATGGCTTTCCAATTTTTTGTCCAATTTTTTCCCCCCATATTAGACACCTGACCACCAACAACCCACTTAAGCTCCTTGCTGGACCCCCACCTAGGGGTGAGCAATTACGGTAATTACCGAATTACCGATCGAAATCGATTTCAATTTGGTAATTCGAATTCGGTAATTCGGTAATTCGGTCGGTAAATCGGTGGTATCGAATTAGTAAGAATCGAATTAGGGTCGAATTTGGTTTTGGGGTTTTTGAATTCGGATTTACCGAATTCGAATTGAATTCGGTAAAACGGTAAAATATTTACTGTCCCAATCAGATTACGATGTACCCTCATTCTCCGCTGCCCATTTATGGTTTCAGCAGCCTGGAATATCCTCCTTGCCACCATTATCCAATACTACCTGCCTCTTGTTTCACTCTTGGCCCTCTGCCATACAACACTGCAATGTTGATGCAAGGGAATTATGTGCAAGCAGCAACTGGCTTTGATAATCATCACCACATCAGTCAACCAGCAAACCTCGTACTTCTTTCTCCGGCTGGGGAGTACGAGGAGAACAACACTAATAATACTGGTGGCTGGTTTCAAGAATCTGATTACCAGTTTTCAAATATCTTCATGCGAATTAGGATTGAGCCAGAAGAAGAGACTGCATTGGTTGAACTGAGTCATGGGCAGGAGCCTACGGTGTTTGATCTGTATGAAGATTCGAATGCTGATGTTGAAGAATCGGATGGCCCTGGAGATGATTGGCTGGAAGAAACCATCTCCCAACATCTGAAGACTAGAAGGTATCATACAATACCTGGTGTAAAACAGGCTGAGCGTGAAGAGGCTGAAATTTGTGTGGTGTGCCTGAGTGAGTACGAGAACGAAGAGATATTGGCGACCCTTGCAGTTTTCTGGAATTCGGTAATTCGGTATTTTTTTGTTTACCGAATTGAATTCGGGTTGAATTCGAATTCGGTAGCGTCTAATTCGAATGCGAATTAGGTCGAATATTTCCAGAACCATTTACCGAAAATTACCGATTTCAACCTACCGAATTACCGAATTCGAATTCGATGCTCACCCCTACCCCCACCTTTGACCATAAAGCCCAAAACTGAGCCTTAAGGCCAATAATAAAATTGGAAGTGGAAGTCTTAAACTTGAAGGCTCAAAATCTTAAGCTGGTGAAAGTTTTATGTGTTTGATAATCAACTTGATTTAGCCACCGAATTGAAATATCCCAATTTGAAAACGTTGTTATCATTCTAAAATAAAATAAAATATTGTATTTAAGAAATTGAGCTAACGTTGTAAATATGGTTATATATCCATATGTAAGGTAAAAAAATGATTAGAAAACGTGTTTACAAAAAACATAATAATTTTTTTTTGAAAAATTGCTCTCCAAACGAGATCTTAATTAGTGCACAAAATGAATGAACTCCTTTATAGTCGAAAATCTCTCTTGATTTGCACTTTTCTCAATGAAAATTTTCTGTGAAATTTTCCTCATATTTGTTACATTCTTGAATGATAACTTCTACTTGAAAACCCTATCCTTAGTTCTAAAATTATATTAATTGTAATTTATCACACAAATTATCCATTTAAGTACAATTTTTACATGTTTGAAGAAGTAACAAGCACATTTGATTGTTCTCGAGATCTTGATGTGTGGAAATTAACTGATGAATTATGCATGAGATATCTGCTTCAAATCTCTTATTGCCCTACCTCTTTCTCATGTAAGAACTAAAAATAAACATTTGTTACACAAATACAACAAAAAATTTCACACATTGGACAATGAAGTCAGACAAAAATATGGGAACAAATTTTTTTTTTTTTAGTTTTTTCTTTTTTTGGTACAAAGGGGGAGGCGGAAATAGGGATAGGGGAATTTGAGACTCATCTATAATAGTCACGTAGGTCTGTATCAGTGGCCAATGGACCAAACCTAATGACTAATGTTCTTCTAATGTTATTTGGTTTCTAAGATTTTTTTTTCCTTGTCCCTGTGCTCGTTGGCACCTATTAGCACGTATGATTTAATCGCTACAGACCAGACACAATGGCAAAAAAAAAAAAAAGAGAGAGAGAGAGAGTAGGTCTTACCTAAAACCGTGTTTATCCCCTTCTAATCACTTTCTTCCTTTTTTTTTTTTTTCAAAACAATAGATGATTTCTATTGATTTCAAAGACTGCACAATTATCAGGAAAGACTTGATAAAGCTATACAATCAGCGTATTTGGATACTGAGGAATCAAAAATATGTATTAAAAAAAAAAGAAATTGTACTATCAAAGGCATTTTATTTTAAATTTCAAGTACTTTGTTTACATCACAATAAATTGTTGACAATTAAGCTTTTGTGGGACTACAAATAAGCGGTTGTAGGCATAAGAATCAAAAAAAGAAATTAAAAAATTTGATCCAAACTTCCTAGAGTATCAACTGTTCAAACCATTTTATGATTTTATCCTTTGTTGGCCTGTTTTTGTCAAAAGGTAATGAAGGGTGCATAAATTCATGGGATTAGAAAAATCTTGCCCATATATTCAATCTTTTGGAATTTCTTTGATTTATGAAATCAGTAACAAGGTGCCGTTTTCATGTAAACTAATTGCCCATTATGTTTTTGTTTGTAGATTAAACATAACTTTTCATAATTGGTTAAGAAAAATAGTCAAATCAAAACCGGGCCTAATCCCAATACTTGTTAAATAATCTGACTTAGCCAAACCTTCAAGAATTGTCAAGAGTTTAGAAATGTCCGTGCCTGGATTGTTTGGATTGCTGTTTTCAGTCGAAAAATTACGTCATTTTCCGTAATCACATTTTCCTATAACCTTTTTCCTTCACATACATCAAATCGTTACAGTAATTTTTTCATGAAAAATCATGAAAAATGCAATCCAAACACAGGAGTTGGTGCCAATAAATTAAGACTCTGATTGATAATTCAATTCAACACTTAAACTTAATGAATTCAGATCTTAACATATTCAAACTGTTTAATAACAAAAGGTTGAGCATATGAATTAATCAAGTGACACTGAATTTCCTAGACAAAACTTGCTCCTAAAATTAAATGATCAACTATTCACCTATCACTGAATGTGATATACATTTCAATATATTATATTTAATAATTTAATAAATTTAAATTTTAAATTTCAGTTTTATCAAACGCACTCTAAGTTTGTGGAATTCTTTATTCTAATCTTGGCTTCCATTCAGTTGGTGGAAAATTCAAGAATGAGCCTTGTGGATATGAAGAAGTCGTTAGACCCATCATGACAGGAAGTTCTTAGCTGCAACTCTCTGGTGTGGAGCCCAAGGTGTAAACCATAGAATGTCCCTCCATTACTAAAGGGCCTATTTTGGAGGAGACACTTAACGTCCAGCCACAGGCTTTGGGGGTGCAGATTCGGAGTCTCACAAGTTCTATTTCGTTCCGTTGAAGGTCAAGGGGTAATTTTATATTTTATTACATTATTTTTCAACTTAGTTACGTCACACTTAAATCTTTATTATACTATTTTGCAAGTCAATCACACCAAAGGGTAATTTTGAGGCATTAATGATGGATCTATGGAAGAACTTCTTGTCTTGCCACCATGATCTGGACTTTGAAGGTGACATAAGAAACAGCAAATGAGGTGAAGGGCATGTGACCAGAGATACGCGTTAGTGTTGTATTTGTACGACCAATGTGGCTGGTATAAGTCGTGATCGTGGATTTGAACCCCATCAGGGACCTCCGCTATCACAATATAGACTGCAAACTGCAAAGAGCAATTTATGCGTAGAGATTAGCCATACTGTAATTGGTATGGGTCCGAGTCCCGTGGTTATCGTGTTCGGGGGATGGAGCCTCTCCTTTCGGATGGGAATGAGATTAGTCGGGTCCCGTAAGGATTGACTCGGACACTCACTCCGTCAGGAAAAAAAAAAAAAAAGATTAGCCATACTGTAATTGGTGGATTGGGATTGGGATTGAAATTGAAACAAAAATTTTCTTGATTAACTTGGTTATATATCCAAAGTTCAGCATACTCTTTAATATGGCCATGCAGTGCAGCAATAATTAATATGGATACAAAAAAAGTATAATATTGATATCAATATTGCTCCATTCCGAGCTCCTAACTCTCCATTCCTCTCCTGCTAAACTTTTCAGTTTATAATTCCTAAAAATCTATTGATCTCTCCTATTTGGACTGTCCTCAACAATATACATTTTGATTGTAGTCCTACCTAATGAGCTTAATGTGCTCATAGCCGTCCTCAGAACTTCATCACATGTTATCCATATCCGATCACTATCTTCATCCTGATACTCAATTATAAAACTTCCCATGGCTAGATTCAGTTGCTGTACTACGTTTTCCTCCAAATCGATTTTACGGGCAGAAAATGGAAGTCTGAACTTTATCATGCGCCCTTGATATTCTGCCTTCACCCACATGCCATTATCATATTCTAGCCTCGTTGCATCTGACCGGTGGTGTTCATGAGCATCTTCCGTAGAAGGCTGAACAGTTTTCTGTACAGCAAGTGCTTGACTAACCTTTCTTGCTTTACGAGGTGGCCATCTCTTAATACCGTACTCCCTACATATACGTTTCAATGTAGATCGACTAACTGCAAATTTCAAAAAGGAAAACTTCAGTGAACTTCAGTGAAGGAAAAAGCCTTTACAACAAGTAAACTAGATATTTCCAAACAGATCTAGGTCAAATCACGATGCATTAACCGACATTTGAATTCGATTTTGATCTAGAGAAGTGCTACAGTTAAGAATTACCTCCAATATTTTTTGCAGCATCTTCAAGTTTCCTCGCAGAATTTTGTTCAAGAACCTCACGAGTAATTCCAAGTTCACTTTTTAAAGGACAACTGGGCTTTTGCATTTTTAAATTAGTCACTTCATTGTCCCTCTGTTCTATACCAGCACCTTCTCTTTCAGGATCTTCCACAATTGGTTCATCATGTTCTATGCTGACCATGTTTTGCATGAGCACTTGTCCGGTTGAAGATCTAACAATTCCATTTTGCTGTTCATAAATAACATCAACTCCTGCAAGATTTAATTCTTGATATGATATGTTGTCAAAGCCTTGCGTGTGCTCTGGTCTAGGTGGAGATCCAACAATCCCATTCTGCTGTCCATGGACACCATTTATACAAGCATTTGTAGTATCAACTCGCTGAGATGAAAAATCAACTTGCATCATTCCTTCTCCTCCTTGTGCTTTTGCAAGCCTAGGTGTAGATCCAACACTTCCATTCTGTTGGTTATGGATACCATCCATAGAACCATTTGCAGCATCAACTTGTTGAGATGAGAGATCAAGTTGCATCATTCCTTCTCCTCGTTGTACTTCTCCAAGCCAAGGAGTACATTCGATGCCAGTAGTACTGCAGATTTCAAAAGAACCAAATCCATCCTCTGGAGAGACCTTTATAACCTCAACAGTCAATTTCTGCCCCAGTTCTTGTCCTGAAGCAATCTTAAAAGAACTTCCGAGATGTTCTTTCAATGTCTCCATTATGCTGTTCAACAATGTCCTAGGATCTTCTTCATCTTCTTCATTCGTAGGTAGAAAGAACTCCAGAACGTAAATGCAATTGTTCGAGCAAGAGCTCTGCAAACAAACTGCAAAACAGGCAGAGTGCTCACAGGATCGTGCCTGGACTACCAACGGGTAGTCTGTTATGCTTAATTGTCTTATATCCCTACAAAAGAATGCACTTTTGGACGAGAATGCTCTCCCAACTACCCCTTGTCCCTTCCGAATAAAATCTACGCCTTCACGAGAACTTAGTATTTCTCCGAAAGTAGTCCAAGTTTTAGCACCACCATAACCCAGTCCACATATTTCACTCACCTTGTTCTGCACTTTTTCAATTCTAGCAATTTCTCCATCTTGACCTGTAGATGAATGGAATGGCTTAAAAGTATTAGCATGGAATGGATAGCCTAAAGCATCAGCCAAGATTATGCAGTATAAAAGGATTAAAAAAAAAATGCTTGAGGTACTCACATGAATTTACTTTGGCAAGGAGGCTTACACCTGTAATTGTCAGATTCATCTCCTGTAGTAGATTTTGGCAAACACATTATATATGTGCCGTAAATAAATTAAAGTGTTAGTTACAAGTTTCAAGGTGTTTGTTTCGGGATTTAAAGCCTGTTTGACAACAATGGATTTGCACCCACACAACAAAAAAAAAAAAAAAAAAAAAAAAGGATAAGCTCTTTGAAATTCTTCTTATCACGAAATTCTTGCACCATATAACACACAAGGAGACAATGGTTGGTTATGTTATAAATTAACATAGTTCAAATAATAAATTAATTAGTTATCTTTATATCAGTCATCATGTGACCGTAAATCCGAGACATGTAGTTTGTTTGTAACTCTCATCAAAATTCTGGTCGGTGGGGGAGTAATTATCCGAAAGAGAAACACAAATGAAATGATGTCAACTAGTATCAGATTGGCTCTTTTTTTTTTTTTTTTTTTGATAACAGATGCTATAATTATTTATGGCCTGGGATTCGTCCTCTAAGCTCCTCTTTTTATATATATATATATATAAGGGAGGGAGTCTGCACCCATTTCATATATATTACCTAATTTATTGATAAAAATTATACTAATAATTATATAACTCATAAATGATAAAAAACACCAACCCCAGGTCCTTGTCAGCAATAGGTAAGAAGTAATTAAGCAACTTAAAAAGAGAAAAGTCGAACCTGAAGCTTCTCCAGAGCCCGACGTCGAAGTATTCTGCTAAAATCAGTTGGTGATACAATTTCCAGTACACCAATGGGGAGGTGCTGAGTAGGATGATGATAGATTGGCAACGCCCAGTAATACCTGACACGGCCGACCGCATAATCACGTTGAGGATACTCTCTAGTAGTGTAATCATGCACATTTTCTGCATATTCGGGCAACCCACTGCGGAAAACCCGACCAGGGGGACCAATCTCATGATCATCGACGGGTATTGAGTACTTCAAACAGTGCTTCCTATATTCACATAATAGTTTCTTGGCTTCTCGGATGAAGTAGTACTGGAGAGCAAAAGGCTGGTCACGAGGTGTCAAATACGTTTTGTCGTCAATCTTCACTAAACCCCAAAACTGAACTAGACACTCCCACGGAAGTGCGTCAAAAAGAAGTTGTAGATAGAAAACGTATGATCTGGTCCTTAATCACGGCACCGTCAGCAGCTGCAATAGGAAAATCAGTGCATACTAGTACTATTGTATCATTTATTTATTAATTGCAGAGTACTCTACTGATTAAAGGGTGCTTTCGCCGAGACCAAACAAGTCAAAGAAAGGAAGTTATGTGTGTATGTGCTCATGATGATCCATCATAAACTTTGAGCAAATTGCAGTTCTGAAAAATTCCAAATTATACTTTGAGAGAGCCTTCCAACCTCAATCTACACATCTGATGATGTATAATTTTCCCAAAGATTAATTTAAGAGCTTTAAGCGCCGCCGCCCTCCAATTGGATGGCCCAAGCCTTTGTATCTTTCTAACATCCATATAATTAGTTACCACAATAGTCCAACAAATTCAATCATCTCTCTCTCATAGTATAATTAGTCCAACAAGAATATCCACATACATATTATATAAGAGAGATTATATATGAAAGAACTCCATACATACTTACTGGCTGAGAGATGATGAGGCTTCCCGCAGCGTCCCTCGTCACCGCCGCATGTGCTCCAGAAAACCCACCAGCGATAATAATTGTGAAATGAATGGGAGTATGATAGTTCACAAGGCCCCAAACCTTCCGTAGAAAAAGGAGGGGAGGGAGAAGTTTGAGCTTCCATTATTGCCAGTTGTAGTTTTGTACAGGCGAAAGCTGCTAATCTTCTGGATCGATCCTGATCCCCGATTCTCAGATTCTTACTACTGCATCTATTTTATTTATCTTCTGTTTAGGAAACTAATACTATATATATATATATATATATATATATATATATATATATATACACGCACACACACACTCGAAGACTTCAAAGTTCAAAGTCAATGGTCGACGTGAGAAAAGGGCCTAACGAGGAAGCAAACAACAGCAAGGAAATTGAAGCATAAGAATTCAAATAGTAATTTTTATTTTTTTTTAATAAAAATTGAAGCATAAGAATTGATCAATATCAATAGCAAATGCTTGAAATTGTTACTATATGCTATTTGTTATCTTCTGATGACCAATTATTTTTAGTAAGAAAGTTATTTGCCCACAAAAGGGAATTTTTTAACACATTATTATTATTATTGAAGTTGATACACAGAATTAGGATTAGAAGACGAGGAGAAAAGATGTAAAAATAATAAGGAAAAAGGAGGAGAAGAAGAAAGAACAATAATGGAAAAAAGAGATTATTAGACACTATCCTTATAATGAGGGCATTTTTATCTTTTTGCTTTTGCACATAAACTTGGCTTTAGAGAGCAATTTATAGGTTTTGAGAAAAGGACCGGCTAGAAGAATTAAAAAACAAAAGCGAAATAACATGGAAGCAAGCAAAAGGCAAAAGCCAGAACCAAGATGGTACATGTGTAACCAATATGAAGTGGTCCCAATTGTTCAATAGGTTCTAAATGGGTACTCTGTTATGCTTAAATGTCTTATATCCCTACAATAACAAGCACTTTTTGGACGAAAATGCTTTTCCAACTATCCCTTGTCCCTTCCGAACAAAATTCGAACCTTAATATTTCTCCGGAAGTTGTCCTTCTGTATTATGTTGAATTAAGGCGGCATAGTTGAATATATTAATAAGATTTTATATTTTTCTGTTTTTATGATTCAAATTATTAAGTATTAATCTTCAAAGAGTTTAAGTTGACAAAGGGCTTAAATTAAAACTTTTGAAATAGTACACTTGGCAGACTTTAAAGTTATAAGTCAATGGTTGGAAACATGAAAGTACTGACTCAAAAGAATACAACAAAAGCAACAGCCAATACAAAATGGCCCAATCCCCTGAACAGACCATTTCTTATACACACCAGTCCAGAACTTTTTTTTTTTTTTTCACACTTTTCCTCCTCCTTCGTTTTTTCCCTTCTTTCTCTTGTACGCACCTTGACCGGACCACCCAAATACTGATTTAACTACTGTTCCGGACCGTGCAGCCCAACACTTACCCAATCCTCCATTTTCTTTGGACAACTCATGTCCCGAATACCCTTTAACAAATATATTGTTGGCTTCCTTAGAAAATGAATATTAAGCGTCAAGGCCCACAATAAAATTATAAAATAGAAGTCTTAAACTTTGACGCTGAAATTTTTGAGTTGATGAACTGATGAAAGTTTTGTTTGTTTGATAATTAAATTGATTTTTTTTTTTTTGGTGTAAGTGAGAGGGTTCCATCCGAGGTCTCTCATTGACACTCATTTCTTTCAAATCATCTAATCCATCTCTTCCTGCTCCTCTTCAAATTAACTTGATTTAAGTCTAACCCGTGATGGTGACTAGAATCGAACCAATCCAAATAAATTCAAAACTTGATTTAGCCACTGAATTGAAATATTTCAATTTGAAATGTTGTTGTTGTTGTTGTTGTTGTTAGTATTATTATTATTATTATTATTCTAAAATCATTAATACTGTTGTATTGTAAATATTGAGCTAACCTTGTAAACCATATTACCTTGGATAAATATGTAAAGTACAGCATTTTGTGTGTAAAAATCAACTAACTTTGGTCATGTAGTACAGTAATATGAGACATTAATACGAAAAGATTATCATTATAAGAACGAATTGCTTCTTGCCATAACTACGCCCCATGCTACGACTTGGCAGCTACAGTGAGCAGGTTGCATTTGTTTTGATGCCTTGAAACGTAAAATGAAGGGTTGTAAGGATGTAAGGATGAATTATTTCTTGGGCTTCAAATTTTCTGCCAGGAAGCCCAGTCTCTTGGCATGGGAAAAAAAAAAAAAGAGAAAATGTGTCCAACAATTTTAGCATTGTTTTTTTCACACGTACATGCATTTTTAAATGTAGACTTATTTAAAAATAAATAATATTGAAATTTATATTTGAGTTTTGTTATGAAAGTTGACATATTAATTATTTTTGTTTCGTCTCTGAAATTGTTACGTCCCTTAGTATATATCAAATTTTTTGTTAACTGTTGCCTACAACAATTGCTTGCTATTTTTTTTTTATTGAGGAATAGATTTCACATTTTGGTGAAAAAATTCCCCTGGATAAAGTGGTTGAATAACTAAAAATGATTTGGGCCTAACAAAAGATGTTTAGTATGTTGCCTGACAAAAATTTCCCCTAGATATACATATATACACAAATGCACGCATGCTAGTCCACACACATGCGTGGCGCGCGCGCGCACACACACACATATATATATATATATATATATATTTAGAGTTTATACAGCTCCCAACTCTCTGTTCCTTTTTTGCTACCGAATTTTCTCATCACCAAACCCAGCTGCAAGAAGTCTCAACATTCTTGCGCAGCTTGTTTTGTTCTCACTTGATCCTTGCTGGGCTCTGAGGCTTTGAATGTTAGTATATCTCCGGAAGTAGTCCAAGTTTCAATATCATCATACTTCAGTTTATATATTTTACTCACCTCGTACAATACTTCTTCAATTTTAGCAATTTCTCCATCTTGACCTGTAGATGAATGACTTAAAAGTATTAGCATGGAATGAATAGCCTAAAGCTTCAGCCAAGATTATGCAGTATAAAAGGAGAAAAAAAAAAATACTTGAGATACTCACATGAACTTGCTTCCGCGACTCTTACACAAGTAGTTGTCAGATTCACCTTCTGTAGTAGATTTTGGCAAACACATTATATATGTACCGTAAATAAATTAAAGTATTATTTACAAGTTTCAAAGTGTTTGCTTTGGCTTTTAAAGACTGTTTAACAACAACGGATTTGCACCCACACCAAAAAAAGAAAAAAAAAACCAATAAGACAGGCTCTTTGTATGTTTACTCAACTAATTTTGGTATAGAAGTTCTGAAAAGCCAAAACCTCCTTCAAATGCCATAGATTTTTTTAGAATCAACTTGTTTCGCTTAAAAAATAACTTAAAAAGAGAACATTAATATTGGGGTGATTGTTTTCACAGTTAAAAGCAATTTGGAAAATTAGTTGTTGATAGATTGCAAAGGAGACCTTCCATTAGATTAATTTATAAAAAGCACCCCTACTATTGCCACCTAACAACTGGAAACCACGATCTCTCTCCAAATTTGTAAAGGACATGGTGATATACAAAATTCACGATAAGCATCTTCCCAATTCTAAGTTAGATTTATCACGAAATTCTTATTTTAAGTGAGTTCACTAAAAATTTAAAATCATTAATGTTATGCTACCACAAATCTTGCACTATATTATGGTCGGTGGTGGAGGAGCAATTACCCGAAAGAGAAACACAAACCAAATGACGAATTAGAGTCAGATTGGCCAAACTTGTGTAATCCTTGAATTTGTCAAATTGTCAATTAATGACGAATTAGAGTCAAATCGAAGCATAAGAAGTGATCAATATCAATAGAAAATACTTGAATTTGTTAATATTAATTACTATCTTGTGTAATCCTGCAAGACGCCAACTGCTCCGGACGCTTCGTCCAAGCCCTTTTGATTGCCCGGACAACTCCAAGTTGCCTACCAAAACTAATATAGGATTTTGGGCTTCATCCATCCGCTAAAGACGAACTAAGCGTCAAAAGAAGATTAGCATCATTCACTCTTTATTTTATTGTTTTGAATTTTTAAAAAAATACAAGTTGGATAATGGGTACTTAAGGAAAGACAACCAACCCATCTAATAAATAATTTGAGTTTTCTTAATCCAACCGATCAAGATCCATCATCGTTGAAAATCCATACTTTTTAATTTTTATTTCACTTTTTTTTTTCTGAAAATCCCTCTCAATGAATGTTCATTGGCACTTCTTAGATAAATCAAACATTTTCTTTATTAGTTCTGTGTATTAGCAATAAGTTTTTTTCTAATGTTTTTTGCTTGTCTTTATCAGAATTTGCATGACATATGTCGGTCATACTTATGTTATAGTCAAAAATAGAAGATAAGGGAAATTTTTCTTGGTTTTTCTTTTCTTTTTGTTTTTGTTTAAAGAAGAGGATTCGTGAACCTAAAATGGATCTGACCAATATTTTTTACCTTCTCTTAAGTAATGGCCATTCACTCTTTGAATTTGCATAGTGGTTGCAAGTTTTTTATATTCTACTCGGGTTCAAATCCTCTTCCTCATGTTTCTTTTCAAAATATTCAATTAATCTTTCTAACATTGTGAGTATAAAATATATACATATGTATATGTGTGTGTATGTATGTATATATGTATATATGTATGTATGCATGTACATATGTATATATATATGTATGTATGTATATAACATTGAAAACTGAGTTTCACAGGTTAAAGGGCGAAGAAATGAAAAACTAATGAGAAGTGAAAACACTATTATTTTTAAAGTTTTAATGAGATGTGAAAACACTATATTTTTAATTACCCATACTACTTCGTTTTTGCTTAATTAGGAGTTAGAACAAAAAGAACAAAGTAGATGGCATAATCTGATTGTTCTCAGTTAGAATTAATCAAATACAAAAGTTAGTTTAATTCAATGTGACTTAATTATTTTTATAGGAAAAGTGTATCATAATGACCAGACACAGCCGCATTCGTTTTGCGCACCATTAGGTTACAAATAACCACTTTTTGAGCATGAAAAGTCGTCAAAACATATCTTCAAAAAATTTGACTATTACAAGATCTGCTTCACCAAGAAAGCCCGAGACCTATGTGATCCAGACCAAATCCAAATCTGAATGTATAACTGGAAAAACTTGGACCTCTCTGGACATGATCTAACCATGGATCAGGCTCGGGTCAAGCCAAGACCTGGCACCAAATCGTAGTTCATCTTTTTTTTTTTTTCTACTCAGGAGGTATCCGGGTTTCGGGTACGCCGGATCCGACTAATCCTCCTGAGATCCGAGAGGAGAGGCCCCATCCCCTCGAACCGGTAACCACTGGGAATCGATCCCTGGTGGGGGAGAATGGACAACAGTTCCTAAGGAGGCTGTGACCAACCAAATCGTAATTCATCACTTTGTTTCGTTTGTCCAAAATCCATTTGCATATTTCAAATCTAATTAGTGTATCTTTCAAAACTAATTTGAGCAATTCCATGATGCTATACATCTGCGGTTTATCAACCCTCAACTTGTTTGACATTTCCAGTGAAATAGAAAAGTGATGAATTAGCTGATTTGAACTTTCAATAACCATCTTTCTAAGGACAAATTTAGCAATGTTTATGGCCAGTGTGGGAGTCAAGAATTTAATGCAGGGTGGCTATTGACATTCATTATAAAGTCTAGAAATCATTTGCTTTGGTTTTTCTCAATTTTACAATAGAACAAAAGAAATTCATTGCATTTAATCGTACGAAAACCAAGAAAAGAATTAAATTTAAATAATTTAAGAGCATGCGATAACTACTATCCAAAAATAATGGTTTAATTGATGGCTGATTTGGCACATCGAGTCAAGCATGAGGGGAGGTTTTAGTGGCTAATCCGAATCATTATCCTTTTAAGTTTTATACTCATTTCTTGGTCGTTCCAAGACGCAAAAAGGGAGCTTTTTAATCCATGCAACTTATGGGACAACCTATAAGCTGCACAATGACCACAGTAAAGCTTAGTTCATCCTGATACTTAATTTTAAAACTTCCAAGGGATAGATTGAATCGTTGTGCAATGTTCTTCTCCAGATCAATTTTACGGGCAGAAGATGGAAGTTCAAATTTTATCTTGTCCTCCTGATATTTTGCCTTGATCACCCACATGTTGCTATCATCTTCTAGCCTTGTTGCATCTAACTGATGGTGTTCTTCAATATTTTCAGTAGCGGGTTGAACAACTTTTTGTTTAGCAAAGACTTGGTTAACCTTTCTTTCTTTACGAGGGGGCCATCTGCGAATACCATCCTCCCTACATATACGCTTCAATGTAGATCGACTGACTGCAAATTTTAGAATGGAAAACTTCAGTGAAGGAACAAGCCTATACAATGTGTAAACTAGATATTTCCAAACAGATCCAGATTAAATCAACATGCATTAACCAACATTTGAACTCAATTCTGATCTAGAGAAATGCGACAGTTAAGAATTACCTCCAATATTTTTTGCAGCATCTTCAAGTTTCCGCATAGAATTTTGTTCAAGAACCTCACGAGTAATTCCAAGGTCGCTTTTTAAAGTACAACTAGGCTCTTGCATTTTTAAATTAGTCACTTCATTGCCACTCTGTTCTATAATAGCATCATCTCTTCAGGATCCTCCACAATTGGTTCATCATGTGCTATGCTGACCATGTTTTGCACGAGCTCCTGTCCAGTTGTAGATCTGACAATTCCATTTTGCTGTTCATAAATACCATCCATAGAATTGTGCGCAACATCAACTCCTGCAAGATTTAATTCTTGATATGATATGTTGACAAAGCCCTGTGCGCGCTCTGGTCTAGGTGGAGATCCAACAATCACACCCTGCTGTCCATGGACACCATTTATATAAGCATTTGTAGTATCAACTTGCTGAGATGAGAAATCAAGTTGCATCATTCCTTCTCCTCCATGTACTTCTCTAAGCCTAGGTGTAGATTCAACACCAGTAGTATTGCAGATTTCAAAAGAATCAAATTCATCCTCTGGAGAGACCTTTATAACCTCAACAGTCAATTTCTGCCCCAATTCTTGTCCTGAAGCAATCTTAAAAGAATTTTGGAGACGTTCTTTCAATGTCTCCATTAGGCTGTTCAGCAATGTCCTAGGATCCCCATAGTCTGCTTCATCTTCCCCATAGTCTGCTTCATCTTCATCTTCTTCATACGTAGGTAGAAAGAACTCCAGTACATAAATGCAATTGTTCGAGCAAGAGCTCTGCAAACAAACTGCAAAACAGGAAGAGTACCCAAGGGATCGTGCCTTGGGTACCAGCGGGTAGTCTGTTATGCTTAATTGTCTTATATCCCTACAAAAGCATGCACTTTTGGATGAGAATGCTCTCCCAACTACCCCTTGTCCCTTCCGAATAAAATCTACGCTACCATGAGAACTTAATATTTCTCCAGAAATAGTCCAAGTTTTAGTAACACCATAACCCAGTCCACATATTGCAGTCACCTCGCTCAATGCTTCTTCAATTATAGCAATATCTCCACGTTGACCTGAAGAGGAATGGCTTAAAAATATTAGCATGGAATGAATAGTCTAAAGCTTCAGCCAAGATTATGCAGTATAAAAGGAGGAAAAAAAAATACTTAGAGGTACTCACATGAACTTGCTCCTGCGAAGAGGCTTACGCGAGTAGTAGTCAGATTCACCTTGCGTAGTAGATTCTGGCAAACATATTAGCCATGAGCCATAATTAAATTAAAGTGTTATTTACAAGTTTATAAATTAAAGTGTTATTTACAAGTTTCTAAGTGTTTGCTTTGACAACAACGGATTTGCCCCCATAAAAAAAATAATAAGACAGGCTCTTTGTATGCTTACTCAACTAATTTTGGTATAGAAGTTTCAAAAAGCACAAAACCTCCTTCAAACCCTATACAATTTTATAATCAACTTCTTTTGCTTAAAAAATAACTTAAAAAGAGAACATTAATATTAGGGTGGCAGTCACCATAGGTTTCATAGTGACAAGCAATTGAAAAATTAGTTGTTGAGACATTGCAAAAGAGACCTCCCATTAGATTAATTTATAAAAAGCACCCCTCCTATTGCCACCTAACAACTGGAAACCCATGACCTCTGGAAACCATGATCTATCCCCAAATTTGTAAAGGACATGGAGATATACAAAATTCATGCCAAGCATCCCCTATTCAAGTTAGATTTATCGCGAAATTCTTATTAAGTGCCAATGCTACCACAAATTTTGCACTATATAACACACAAGGAGACAATGGTTGGTTATGTTATAAATTAACCCCTATATCCATTACCTAGTTCAAATAATAAATTAATTAGTTATCTTTATATCAGTGATCACAGTAAGTATGCTCTGAAGTGACCATAAAGTCGAGGCATGTAGTAATTATCCGAAAGAGAAACACAAATGAAATGATGTCAACTAGAATCAGATTGGCTCTTTAATTTTTTTTTTAATTTTTGATAACAGATGCTAATTATTTACGACCTGGGATTCGTCCTCTAAGCTCCTCTGTTTTTTTATATATATAAAAGGGAGGGAGTCTGCACCCATTTCATATATATTACCTAATTTATTGATAAAAATTATACTAATAATTATATAACTCATAAATGATAAACAACACCACCCCCGGGTCCTTGTCAGCAATAGGAAAGAAGTAATTAAGCAACTTGAAAAGAGAAAAGTCGAACCTGAAGCTTCTCCAGAACCCCATGTCGAGGTATGAAGCTAAAAACAGATGCAATTTCCAGTACACCAATGGGGAGGTGCTGAGTAGGATGATGATAGATTGGCAACGCCCAGTATTCCCGGACACGGCCGACCGCATAATCACGTTGAGGATACTCTCTAGGAGTGTAATGGCCCACATCCTCTGTAAACTCAGGCAACCCACTGCGGAACACCCGACCAGGGGACCAATCTCATGATCATCATCATCTTCATCGACGGGTAATAAGTACTCCAAACAGTGCTTCCTATATTCACGTAGTTTCTTGAGGGCTTGACCATCGAAGCCGTAGTAAAGGAGAGCAAAAGGCTGGTCAGGAGTTGTCAAATACGTTTTGTCCTCATTCTTCACCAAGCCCCAAAACTGAACTAGACACCGAAGGTATATTATTTGTTTAAGATGTAAAAAACGTGTGATCCACTCCTTAATCACGGCACCGTCAGCAGCTGCAATAGGAAAATCAGTAATAAAAAATATTAAAGGGTGCTTGCCAGTATATACTATTGTACCATTTATTTATTTATTTATTAATTGCAGAGTACTCTACTGATGGACCAAACAAGTCAAAGAAAGGAAGTTATGTACTCATGAGTCATGATGATCCATCATAAACTTTGAGCAAATTGCAGTTTTGAAAAATTCCAAATTATACTTTGACAGAGCCTTCCAACCTCAATCTACACATCTGATGATGTATCCAACCTGAACCTATATGAAGACCTCTAAGCGCCGCCGCCCCCGTTGCACCTTCCAATTGGATGGCCCAAGCCTTTGTATCTTTCTAACATCCATATAACCGTTTAATTTCTCATCAAACTAATTTTTTTTCTAGAAATTTTTTCTGTTCTAAATTGTTCATGCAAATTTATTCCCCGGGAGTTTTATCAGAGTCAGACTAAATATAGCTATGACAAATTTAATTGCCATAAATAGCTCAACAAAAATATCCACAAATACATACATACATATTATATATATATATATATATATATATAAGAGAGATTATATATGAAAGAACTCCATACTTACTTACTGGCTGAGAGATGATGAGGCTTCCCGCAGCGTCCTTCGTCATTGCCGCATGCCCAAGCCTTTGCACATATATCTATCTATATACACACACACACACACTCGAAGACTTCAAAGTCAATGGTCGACGTGAGAAAAGGGACTAACAGGCAGAGGTACAAACAAGCGAAATGACGAGGAACCAAACAACAGCGACCAAGGGTTCAATAGGTTCAAAAAGCTCAAATTGTTCACACGGTTTCAACAGATCGTGAAGAAGTTAGCTGTCGTTTATGGGTAAAGATTAATCTCTTGCACTTTCACCTAATCAGATGCTGTACAGATCGAGGAACGAAGTTGATGCTCATCAGGGCCCATGCGTCACTAGCAAGTTGTGTCATTTTCTTATAATTAACTAGGATGGGATAAAGGACGGAGATGCCCAGTTTAGTCAAATAATTTGTACTAATTCAAAATGGATCATTAATGAATTAAATTTGTTTGTTTTTGATGAAATTTAGTTACAGATAAACCAAAATAAAATATTGAACCAAAATTAGAGCAAACTTTCATCTAAATATGTAATCATGTAAACAAAAAAATAGTAAGTGTTATGCTTGTTAAAGAACCACAACATTAGAGGACTTCATCCAGGTTACAATCTACACTTGCAATTTCAAGGGTAGGTTACATTACGGTTTAATTAAGATATCCATTAATTTCCGAATGATGTACCTACTCAAAACTTATAAGCGTCATCAGGGGTTAGATTTTGCTATCTTTCCATGCTCTCAGATCATTTTCAACATTAGGAAAAAAAAAAAAAAAGAGTGAAGGAGGGGAGTTAACATGGCTGTATGCAGGAAAATGCAAAATAGTAAGAGCCAAAGTGAGCAAGAAAAAAAAAACATGAAATTGACTTTATATTATTGGTAGAAACAAGATACTTCATAAGTTTCCTGACTTATCAACCTCCAAATTGCATACAACAAATCTTAAATCTGAATAGCATCTACCATACTCATGGCTAACTAAGTAGTATGGCTGATATCAAAGCACGTACATAAATAAGATAATATCACATTTGTGAATCACTATAGCTGGGGACTTGCTGAAAAGAAGTAATAATAATCAGGAATTTACCGAGAATCCGGCCAAGCAGATTTATTGAAACGTTTGACAGCAATCCAAGAGCCATCATCTTCAAGCTGCCAATTGTAGACAACATTTGGAGCTTTCTCTACATGTTCTGATAAAAAGTTTTCAACTGAGAATCCTGAAGTTGCCACCTTCAACTCATCTAAACTGCATTCTTTAAATGCTGGCAGTTTCATCCTTCATTTTCTCCACATTTCTCTGAAACCCCAGAAGGAAAAACATCAGAAAAAGGGGAACAAAGATTACATTTTTATACATTTAACAGAGTTTTAAGAATTACCAAGATCAGAGGAATAAGGGACGTTGGATTTGAGGTTGGAAAGCCACCAGCAAAAGCCTAATTTAGAGCAGCGAGCTCCCATTGGGATGAAGACGAATAATTCTGAAAAACAAAACCGGCAATCAGGTCAAGAAAACACGCAGAGAAAAATATCACAAATGGATAGCACAAATCATAGGGACATAAAATACATGTAACCAACCAAGTCAATTCAAGCGCCATTGCAGAAAAAAACCTGTAAAAAAAAAAGGCTTGCAAAGAGGTTAAATACGATCACGGGGACAAAACACGAGAAGCAAAGTACAAGGGTCAGAGTTAACCAAAAAAGTGGGAAGTATCGGACTAACTCAGATTGGGTTGGGTCTGGAGTACCCTGAGCAAATATCTGCACCAGAATACACTGTGTCTGACTAGAGCAACAGCAGTCTACAAGGAGCTGGATAACCCAGACACAATCACTTGGAGTCCAGAGGCAAATGGGAATTTCACCACATCATCAGCCTGTGATTTGCATGGGAATTAGCAAAACAACAAGGAGAAAGACATGGCCTGGGAAAGAATATGGAACCTTTAAAGGCCCTAGTAGATGGAAGTTGCTGCTGTTGAGAGTGAGGCATGGACGATTGCTCACTAATGCAGAAAAACATTACAGACATCTGCATCCTTCCAGAAAATGTGAAGTATGTGGAGAAGAAATGAAACAGCACTGCATGCATTGAGAGACTGTGATTGGTCAACAAAATTCGGAGAGGACTTGTCTCAAGGGAAAGATGGAGAGACTTCAAATCAAAGTCCCTGATTCAATGGGTGGATTGGAACGTTAAGCAGAGTGACATAGGAAGGATCAAGAACGTACTCTGGCCCGTGCTCTCCCAAGAGGTAGTGCACTGGGCATGGACAGCGAGGAATGAGAAGGTTCATCAGAGGCTGGACAGAAAGCTCAAAGCCCGTCCGGAGCAGCTAATTCAGCAAGCAGTAGAGGCTCAGGAGCTTACCAATACTCGCACGGAGAACAGGAGCCAGCCGAAATACATCAGCTGGGACAAACCACAGGAGGGCTGGATTAAGATGAATGTAGATGGAGCTGCAAAAACATAATCCAGGGAGGGCCATACTCTTGGGACTTAGAATCGCCTACAGAGCAAGCAGGGTACAAGAAAGTCATACTGGAGACAGATTCTCAGTAGCTATGTCGTTACTAGAATCAGCACTAGAGGAGAGCCAATATTGGAATATGATAAAAAATATAAAAAAATGGATTGAGAAATGTGTTTATTATGTAAGCAAAATATTATTTGGAATTTTCTTTACTTGTCGGCAAGCAATTTGTAGGCTTTGAGAAAAGGGGCCGATAGGAAGAATAACCGAAATATCATAGAAGCAAGCAAAAGCTAGAACCTAAATGGAACAAGTACAAAGCCTTCACATGGCTCTAATGGTTGAAGCTGTCCCCGGACATTATTTCCAAAATAAAAATTAAAAAAAAACCCCGCAATAGAACTTAACAAAACCACAGATTTAGACCCACTAAAGTCTAGAAAAAGGATTTTTCAAAAATTTTGAATTGCCACTCGATACTGGATTTAGTTATACCGAGTCACCTAAAAGTAATTTTTGATCTCTAAAACACAAATTAAAATCCTTTAACTAGATAATTCCATGTCTTTCAAAATCAGAGAAATAAGTTCGAAAGCTCATTTGTAAGGAGAAACGGTCAAAGTTTTATTCTCAAGCACCCCCTACACCTAACAAAACCGATTGCAAGTTTAATTTCGTTCTTTCAATTTTAAGGCAAAAATGAGTTAATCTATTGCTAAACACATAATATTTACTTAATTAACACAAAATACCCAAACAAATAAAAAAAAATTGCATAACACATAAAGAGTGAAATAAAATGAAATGATTAATTTCAAAGCTCTGCCCACTCGATCATATGCAACAAAATAAAAAGTAATTAAGAAAAAATATAAAAGAAAAAAGAAAAAGAAAATTACAAGATTCAATTGCTCCTGCGTCCCATATGGGTTACATCACTTCTAAAAAGAGAAAATAAATTAATTACAATGTGAATTGACAAATAGATAGACTAATGAAGCAAAAGTTGACTAATCTAGTCTTAGGACTTAATTAAAACTACCCAAAACAAGTTCGGTGGTAAATCTGAAAGATTGTAAATTTTGGGGTGAAATCACAAATGTGTCATCTTTCTCCATTGAAACAATGGAGAAACCTGCGTAACCTGCGTTCTTGTTTCTTCAATGGAACTTTCACCGGAAACTAGAAATCATCATCTCCGGCGCGCATTGGACTTGCCAGATCTTCGCCCTCTCTCCCTCACGCACACCAAATTCCATTGGGCAACCAAAAATAGAACGAAAGGAAAATGTAGAAGAAAATCAAAACAAAAATCTCTGGGTCTTTGATGGCTTTCCGGCGAAGTCACGGGCTCCGATCAGCGTTGGACTGATCGGAGCTCCGCCCCACGCGCTCAGATACAAGAGATTTGTCTCTTTACTTCAAGTTCTCGTTTAGGCATTTCTTCAAACAGTAGATGGGCATACGAAAATTCTAAAGATCTCATACAATTCCAACGAGAGAAAGACCCAAAACTTGTAATCAAAATATGATTTCAGTCCAAGAAAGCCAAAGAGTATACTCAGCCATGAAAATTGCAAAATAAGTGCAGATTAAAAAAAAAGTCAAATTGAGATTAAAGTTGGAAAGGAAGTAAGAACTCACAGTGCATTTTAAATGACGACTTGATAACCGTGGTGGTATGGACAAACTCCGACGACCCAGCAGTGGCAGCGGCTCCTCCTCTGTTTCCCGTCGGTTCTTTTATTATTATTATTTTTTTTTTTTGGCCGACAGTAATAGGATAATGGCAGATGGATTGAAAAAGGGGATTCTTTTGTGAAAGATGGAGCTGATGATTAGGGATTGAGGAAATCTAGCTCATGGCGGATGAATTGGGATTAATGGTGATGAATGCAAGAAATAGTGGTCCAAGTCCTCAGTTTCTAATATCTATCAAGTTTTCAAAATTGGGATCCTATTTAAGATCTTGTTTTTGTGTCTGCAGACGAGATCGTAAGATGGATAGATCCTATAAAAAAAAACGTAAAAAATACTCGTACCAATAATTTTTGAATTTGCAATTCACACATAGAGCAATAAATAATGTAACTCATATGCAATAATATAATAGATAACGTAACTTATGCCGTTATGCGTAATGTAACTTATGCTATCTAAAGTATTTGGGGAGTCTAAAATTAAAATAAAAATTTTGAGACTATATGTAACATATTGTAATGCATGTGATCAAACTAAAAGTCTTATTCTTTCTTATTTTTAAATCCAAACGTAATTAATGGACAAGATAGTTGGAAAAGTTGATTTTATATGTACATAGACCCTTTAAGTATTTATTAATAAGATAATTAAACACAGTATATTTAGTTAATTATAACATTTATTGATGATTACATCATTTTTTATATGTATAAGAAGATAAATAAATATTACATACATAATGAAATGTTTGAAATATATTTTCTTTGACTAAAAAATTAGTATACAATAAACAAATAATTGAAGAAGATTGTGAGATAGAAATTTATGACAAAATCATGTACTTTGGGTTCAACTATTTGGCAAGTAAGTTTTTTGGATGTTTGTCTAAAACTTTACTGTAGTTTACTGCAGAAGTTTTTTAAAAAAATTTGTGAAGTGTGTAAATTTTTGAATATTTTGAAGTGTATAGTTTAAAAATTTTGAGAAGTTTTTTAAGGTTACTGTAGCTAAAGTTTTAAAAAAACTTGTAGCAGATAAACTTGGCAAAAAACTCAAATGCCAAACAAGGCTACAAAGCCTACTACTTACTTACCTATATATAACAAAAATACTTAATTTACCAGAATAAAAACCCCAAATAAGTGTCCTAAGTGATAACTTACAAGCAATCATCTTCTTAATGGATCAATTTTAAATGTTCACCATTTTTGTGGGTAAGGAATTAGCATGATACACTTATATGTGCTTAAAGCTTCAATTCTAGTTTTCAATGCCACAGACGATATTCAATTCCGAGTTTTCTATAGAAAGTTATGATCAAAAAATTTTTATAGTAATATCTTGAAATAATACGATCTTACGATCTAGAATGCAATCCCACCGATTTTGTTTGTTTAGGGTAAAATTTTGATCCTAATTACAATTCTACATCCGGATCGTGATTTTAACGACTATAATGAGTAATTGACCTAGTAAATTTTAATTTTAATTTAGAAATTAGATAAGTAATCTTAGATATAACATGGTGACTTTCAAATCGATATCGAATTTGTAGATAAGTAATCATAAATATAATTAACGTAGTACTCCAAGAAACTAGAATTGAGATTGTAGATAAAATAATCATAAACATATATCACATAATACAAATGTTTCAAAGGTTGAACACTTCAACTATTGAAATAACTAGATGGTTACCAATTTAAATTCTAACTCCGCAACTAGTTGTACTAGACATGGCACCTATAAATCACAAATTTGACTAGTAATATAGTGTCAAAATTTGAGACTTTTTAATATATTAATGTTATCTAATTATAAGGATAACCAAATTATCGTAAAAATCAAAGTTTACTCTTAAAAGTAATTAGTGCTAAATTAAAGGTTTTGTTGTGATATGAATTATCTAATGATAGCAAATGCATTGAAACAAGCAAGCAAAGATATCTAGATAAATGCCAATTACAATCTCGTGTTCAAATTAACATACACTAGCATTTATAACATTTACAATTCCGTGTTTAAATGCACATCCAATGTGTGTGCAATCAAAAAATATATAATATCTATGATCATATATTTTAAATAAAATTTTTATTATCGAAACAAACTTTAATCTTTTAATAATGTTCATAAAATAATTTTATATTAGTAGTTACAATATTTAGTGGTGGTTATGTTGAAAACATATAATTAAATAGTTAAAAGTAAAAATAGTGATAAATAGTTATAGATAGTTAAAGTAAAAGTAGTTTTTATAAGGGCAAAAAATAAATTTTATAAAATGTTATCCCCGGATCCATTCTTCAAACTTTATATATAGTATAGATAACCATACACCTACATTCACTGAGTATTCTATTATAACAAAATGTACCTACATTTTCATAGTTTTCACATTTACTATCCCTTCTTCTTTTTTTTTCCATTTGTTTAAGGTAATTTATCCAATTTTTGCCATTCAATTTTTTAATTCTGCTTATTTGTTCAAAAGCGATTTTTCTTTATTTGATTTACCTTTTTTTAATTCTATTTAATATAATTTAACCAACATTTTTCTTTTTCTTTAAGAAAAAACACTATTCTTATAATTTGTAAATGTGATGGCTATCCCAACTATCCATGACTATGCAAAAGAAAAAAAAAAAAAGAATAGTTGGTGCATATACACAATTATCACATTTGATACATGAAGTTTTTCAATTAACTAATTACATTAATGAATTATTCTACGACATAAATAATCACAAATAACCAAGAGATAATCCAAAATGCATAGATGAAATTCACAGTATGGAAGCATATAATTTTATAACCTTTTAAACTTTGTATGATTTCTAAAGGAAGTAATTGACTTTCGAGATACCATGTATGCATATTGAAATTAATATCGTATATTTAATAGTAACTTGTATAGTGCTTGTAATTAGAATGTAAAAGGTAACTAAGACTGTTAATTATCCACAATATATATATATATATAAATGTGAAAAAAAATGTTCAAAACATTATTCACATTTTATTAAATGAATTTTTTTGCCATTCACTTTCAAAATAGTAACTTTACGTCCTTTACAAAATTAAGTTTGTAAAATTTTGTCCCAACCTAGGTTTTTGACTACTTTTTATCTTGAATCAATCATGTGACCTACACAAGGTCATTTTTTTATGGCAAAAAAGTTAGATCTCATTTATAATTAAATAAATGATGAAATTCATATTTATTTTTTGCCATTTGTCCTAAAAAGTAATCTGACATTTTTGCAATATTCATTTTTGTCCTAAAAAGTAAAATCTAACATTCATATTTATCTTTGCCATTTGCCATAAAAACATTTTTATTTAGTATGCAAGAATTGAATCTTTTTCAACTGTAAGTATTCCTTGTAGAGTGAACTATAATCCATTTGGTACCAACATGGCATGTTAAGGTCGGGATCGTAATTCTGAAAACACGACTAGTATGTTAAGTAGCTTGTTAGCGATAACAAAACTCAAGTTTTGATGAAAAAAAAAAAAAGTCATTAATTCACAGCCGGTTGTCATTAACACACGCAAAAAAATTTTCCGGGTTCCATCTAGGGGTGCAATCAAGTCAAGTTGCTCGCGAGGAGCTTGCGAGCGGCTTAGTAAAAAGACCGAGCTCGAGCTACTCGTTACATTCAACGAGTCGAGTTTGAGTTCCAAAAATAAATACTCGAGTGCTCGACGAGTTTAATCGAGTTTTTATATTAAATTTATATTGTATATTTTGAAAAAAAAATTATAGGCTTATTTCAAAACTCGAGCTCGAGCTCGAGTAGATTGGGCTTGATATTTACTCGAGTTTACTCGAGCTCAAACGAGTTGAGCTTAATTTTATTTTATCGAGTCGTGCTCGAGTCCAAATTTTTTTATTTGTTCGAACTCGAGCTCGGGCTCGAATAGCACTGATTCTGATCGAGTTCGAGCTCGAGTATCGACTTGGGTCGATAGTAAATCTAGTTCCATCCATCATTAAGGCTGGTTTGTTAAGCCAACCCTACAGCCAGTTGCCTTATTTTAGTTGGGGCCCAATTGACATGTGAAAGATGTCCAAGCTGAGTTGTCTTGTTAATACTTCTGCCCACGGTGGAGAGTTCCCTCTACTTTCCAGTTTGCACACTAGAAGCAACCGACAAGAACCAGTCAAAAGTCATAACCACAAGAGTTGGTCAGTCCTGCGTTTTGCAGATAGCTTTGCCTTGGGGTTTTGGGACCCAAAACAACCAATTTCTTGATTTTTTTTTCCCAAACGGTAACAAATTTCATTAATCAAAGAAAGGATTACATTGTTTGAGCAACTGCCCTTACATCAAGTGTGGCTAAACTAGTAAGCCAGATTGGGAAGGACTCCTTCCAACTAATTTCCTCAGACAAGCTAATGGCAAATTTTGCCAGCTTATGAGACACACTATTACCACCTCTTTTAACAAAAGAGAAGTAACAAACCTTAAAGGCTTGACATAACTCCAATACATCATGCAAGATGGTCCCTGCAGTTGGGTGATCCCCGTTCCTATCTGTAAGCAAATCCACCATTTGTTTACAATCAGATTGGATTTCCACTTTGTTCCACCCACACTGTTTAGCCTTGATGACAGCTTCCCTGATAGCTAAGGCCTCCTCCACTGCTGGGATACCATTCCTTTGTTCACCACCTGCCCAAGCTCCTACTACCATGCCATCCTCTCTTCTGGCCACAACTCCCCATCCTACTCTGCCTCCTTTAACCTCCAAGGCTGCATCAGTATTTAGTTTGACAACCCCCTGTGGAGGTGGAACCCATTTACTACTCCCATCCTCCTGTGTTTTCCTTGGTTCCGCTACCATTCCATCCCCATTTCTCACATCTTGATACTCAGACCACTCATTAACAGCTTTACTGACTATTCTTCCTGGACAGTTCCTTTCCTCATTAAATTGCACTTGGTTTCTGGATTTCCATATCTGCCATAGGATATTTACTGTTAAGGCAATGTGATTCCGTCCTCCTATTCTGTTCTGCACCTCCATCAGGCTATTCCACCAATGCCAGAAACTGTGCCTGTACTCCTTCAGACCATCCCAATCAATTGGAGCTGCCTTCCATATAAGCTCTGCATGACTACAGAAGAAAAACAAGTGCTCCAATGTTTCTGTCATCTCCCCACAACACTTGCATCTATCCTCCCCTATCCCTATCCTACTCCTGATCACCTCATTGACTGGCAGGACCCCATGCAAGCACTTCCAGAGAAAGTGTTTCAGCTTGTGTTTTATATCCAAGTTCCATAGCACCTTCCATACATTAGAGTGACATGTATTTCTGCTATTACTGGCTTCTTGTGGTTCC